GAATTAAATTGTGACATTGGTTTTTCACTTGGCCCATGCACTTATTTCATGCTTTTATGAACCCAAAATGATAAAAAGTTTTGGCATTGTTGAGGGTATGAGTATATTTCTGAAATCCTGGGTGAGCGCTCAATGCATTTACTCTCCCCGAATTCCCCAGGATACAGGGTGAAACCCAGAGATGGATTCTGAGCAGCTGATTGCCAGTAATTGATTTTTCTCAAAGCTGTTCTGAGATGCAGCCAAGCATGGGTCATTGCCTGCTCCACCCAGCTGTAGTGAACAGCCCACAGATAGAGACCTTTAATAGATAAGCTGCATGCCCATTTAATTCCATAGCACCTAATTAAAAATTTCCCTTTTGTACAGAAGCCAATATTGCTTAAAATTTTGTCTAAGTAGAAGTCTCTTGCAATTCTGCTTTAGATGAGTACATTTTTACTAGGATATGTTGGTTAGGGGCTTGGATGAGGTCAGAAATCTGCAGTATTTTAATCACACCTTGGAAAGAATAACTCCCTATGCTTGATAGCTGTGATTGAACAGAGAAGTCCCTGAACAGTGAGCACTCAGTTAAGTAGGATGTTTATTGCTGTTGTTCTCTTTGAACATGCATATAGCTGTGAAATAAGTACCCTGCTTGTATTTCATTGCACCTTACTATTGTGCCTTTCAATTCATCATCAGTAATAGAACTCCCTGGAATCAGCAGCACTGGGAACAGGCTAAAAACACAGGCCCTTTGCCTCCCTTCCTGAATCCTCTGAAGCAGGTCCTTCATTTTAAGAAGATCCTGGGGTCAGAGAAACCCCAGTCTAGCAGATTCTGAGGCCAAATGTGACTTTGCAGCTCGCTTTTAATTATCTTTTCTAATCCAAAATGATAGAAGATTTTCACGACAAGATAGAACATTATTAAGGGTACAGGCCCATGATTGTAACACATATTGTCCACAAAGGATGCCTTGTAAGTCAGAAGACAATTGCTTGTATGTGATCTTAGGCACCAGTAACTGCTTTTCTTACAGACAGGTCATTATGCTCAAAGAATTCAATACTTGGCCTACTGCTGGACACACAAGTAGATGTTTCAAGAATTGGAATGAAGGGAAATATTTGCTAATCACTTCATGAGTTGTAACTACTCTCAAGAGTTCAAGCTCATGGCTCCTCTCCTCCAAGGAGTTTTTTCCCAGTTTTTTCATCGACTTGGGTTCTGCAGTTGAGTAAATGTCAGGTACTTGATATTTAATATGTGTGCATGCACACACACCTTTTAGATACCAGTTATTTTGTATCTTTGGTACTAAAGCTTCAAGAATCTCTCTCCTATGTTTTGGATCACTTTTTCAGGGGAGGCTTTCAGAAATTTGTAACTAAGCATGTATATTGTAATAATAGTGCTGCAGTGAAAAAAAATCCATAAGTTTTCATTTTCTTTCCAGCATTGTTCCAAATTGCCAACATTAATTCTGAGATTCCAATGGTTTCTCTAGTGCTGACCCATTTGTATTACGGAACATGTCTGCTGATGCAAAGGTGATATATAAAGTGATTCGATAACTTCCAAATGACCTTATAGCTTTTCACTGTTCTTTCATTAGTATGTAATAACTTGGACAATATTTACGATTTTCTTGGTAACGTCATACATGGGCCATTTTCCTATTTTAATGGTAGCTGTAGATACCTTAATAAAATATGCACCAAACACAGGTGAAATTTAATTCCCACAATCATGACTGTATTCAAGACATCAATATGCCAATTTCGTTCTGACACTATTTCTATTCAGTATTTTTTTTAAACGCAGTTTTCCTTTATTGTTTTCACAAGTGGTCTCTAACTGGCCTAGAGGTGGCAGCATTGAGCAGCTTATTCTGATAATCAGTTGCTTGCCTGGTCTGCATTTTCTGTTAGTTGTAAATTTTTCATAGAGAGTATTTCATTACAATATAGAAGTCTAATTTAGCATAAGGTGACAGGATAATACTCGTATCTGCTCAACATGACTTCACTTAGATTCCACCAAAGCCTTCGTTCCTATTCTGTATATTCACATGAATCGGATGTGAATTTGCATTTCCAGACTTATCAAAACCTGTGAATTAAAAAAGTAGAAAACTGAACTTATTGTAGTACAATTTAAATATTAACTATCTTTAAGATTGGCAGTAGATCTCTCTCTCTCTCTCTCTCTCTCTCTCTCTCTCTCTCTCTCTCTCTCTCTCTCTCTCTCTCTCTCTCTCTCTCTCTCTCTCTCTCTCTCTCTCTGTGTGTGTGTGTGTGTGTGTGTGCGCGCGCGCGCTACTGGGAATCCAACCCAGGTCCTTGGACACCTCAAGGCAATTTGCTTTATCTTCAGCCATAATAACAATTACTTTCATATCAAAGCCTTAACCCTTTGTGAAGATGACTTGTAAAATTTTTCCAAATTAAATTGCTTTTTAGGTTGACCCCCTCCTTCAAGAAAAATAGTATGTTTTCCCTCTACTCTTTGTTCATTTTTGGCTGGGGATAGAGGATAGGAGGAAGTAAATTTTTAAAAAAATCAAGCTATGGATTTGAAGTGCTTTCCCACAAAATGTGAATTACAGGCCCCCTCCTGAAAAAAAGTCCTTTTGGCCTAATCTCGATCTTGCTCTTGCTATCAAACAGCTGTTTATTATCTTTTTTTGTTTGTTGGGGGGGGGGGCTTGGGCAAAACCTTCCACTGTGACTCTTCCACACCAACTTCACATGTCTCTACTCTGCATGCTCCCCTCTCCCTGTGGCACTCCAAACCTTCAGAATCCGATTCCTGCGATGCTGCCTCCGTACCACTTCCAAATTACTTGCTATTTATAGCCTTGCTGTAGTGGGCATGTGTGCCCGCATCACCAAGCTGTCAGAGGGAAATAGGGAGGGCTTTCAATTCAACATGTGTACCCAGATAATACATTAACCAGGTTTAGAAGAGCCTGCGTGACAGAGAAGGTGAAAAGACAAACCAGAGGCTCCCAGCTTTCGTGATGAGGTGGCATCTGTAGATGCGGGATACCCCAGTTCGATTGCCGTAGACCTCTGAATGGCGCTGGTACCTAAGTCTGTACCCTCACCCTGTCTCCCCTCTACCGCATCTGTGCAAGACGGGAAAGACAGGCAACTCCACCAATCAGCAGGCTGCCCCAGGAAACTCACCCCGCCTTTCGCCCCGCTTTAGGCTGAGGCGGGCTCCCCCCTGCCTCCCTGACTCCCATGCTACAGGCCAGGCGGTCTAGTGGATTGAGCATGCCCAGCACCTTTACTGCTGCGTCTGCCTGCGAGTATTCTGCAGTGCCAGAGAGCTGGAGGCTGTGGGGGGTTCCTGGCGTGGAGAAGGAGGCGGGAACCCAGAACCGCCCAGGGCTAAAGTGGGTTGGCTGTCAGCACCGGGACCAACGTCACCTTTGTAGGTCTTTAATGCCAGCTGGGCAAGACAGGGACATCCTGCTTGATTTATAGGTCACCTTTAAAAAAAAAAAAAAAACTTTGGGGATCGTCTGCTTGTGGCGAGACTGAGTATCAGGCTTTGCAACTCGGCTGCTGAGCCGTTTTCATCAAGAAGTGCCCATTTTCCTGTACAGGCTAACCGTTTATCCTTGTGGTCAAGGTTAAAAATTTATAGGGTCGTCCAGTGCGCGTGGAAACTATGAAACAAACATTTGCTAATATGTACAGAGTGGGGATTTGGACTTGGGAATTCTGAATGTCCTTAACATCATTTTAAAAAAATTACAAATATCCTTGAGAATGTGGTAAGGGGTGGCTGGTTTTCCTCTGCCCCCATCCTTGGCCCTAATCCATAAGTATGAATTCCTGTTCACCTGCACGAAGGGAGTGAAACTGTGACATTTACATTTCATTCCTTTCCTAATTGATCAACCACCCATCTCAGTGGTGCCAGGCTTGAGGTTCCCGGTCTTGAGTCCTAGAGACCCTAAACCAGCAACAGTCTTTGCCCTTGGGCATCCCTCTGTGTTCCTTCCAGGTGCTTCACCGCGGCACACCCGGAGATTCCAGGTGGAAGGCTGGCCCAAGAAGTCCTTTAGAAAACCTTACCAAAAAATTGTAGCTCTCCCCACCAAGGCTTCTCACCTAGAAACCAACATCCAGCTGGCTCCCGGAGGTCGCCGTTACCTGTTGGGTGAGAGGCTGAGGGTCATCCA